CACTATTATTTTAGAAAGATTTCCATTCTATCCCATAATACAATAATTTATATTTTGAGTATTTGGAGAGCTGAGAGTAATCCTCATTATCTGGAAATCCTGGAGAGATTCATCCACTAAGCAATCTAGATAGATGTGGTCCTATTATATTTAACCAATCCTTTGCTGTAAATTATATTTCCTTGTCCCACCACAAAGCAAGAATACATTTTCCTATACAGACCAGGAATATCTCTTTCCAATAACCTTAAGCAAATTCTATAGCTTGTCACTTTGCCAAGGAATTAAAATATGGATGTGGGTATATATAAATTTATCTCATTTCATTCAATGTCTTTAATAAGTGACTATGGACTTCCTTTTTCTTCCATCTTGGAGCCACGGAGGCCTGCCGGAAACAGGACTTCTAGAAAAGCATAATGTCTGGAAGACTGTGGTCCAAGGCCATTTTTGCTGGCTTGTATACAAGCGAGGCCTATGAAACCAGAGGGAACACACAGCTCTTCTGAAAACTGAAGGAGTCTACGCTAGGGATGAAACGGAATTCTATTTGGGCAAGAGATGTGCTTATGTATACCAAGCCAAAAAACAACACGGTGACTCCTGGTGGGAAACCAAACAGAACAAGAGTTATCCGGCAAAAAGTTACTCGAGCTCATGGACATAGTGGAGTGGTTTGAGCCAAGTTCAGAGGCAATCTTCCCGCCAAGGCCATTGGCCACAGGATCCAAGTGATGCTCTATCCCTCAAGGATCTAGAATATGAAAACTGATTAAATAAAATTACACATTTTTTGCAAATATTAAAAAAAAAGTGACTACGACCAAATAACAGTGGGTAACTTCCCGTGGTTCTTTATACACAAGCTTTATGATCTCTTTAATTAGGCAACTTTGAAACAAAGAAAGCTAGACATTCATTCAAAAGAATGCTGTGAAATACCTCTACATTAGAGGTTAGAATTTCTTCTATAGGTTTAAAATAGTCTGGAAGAAGGCCACCTAAGCACTGCCTTCTAAACATTTTACCTAGTAGGCCTTTGGAGAGGACGCCCTCCAGTCAAACTGCAAACTCTTTTTATCTCTGTGTTGACTATAGCAACCTCAGGTTTCCCCTGTGAACCAAGCAGCTGTTCTGATACAGTATTTGTAATGAACTGAGTTTTCTCTTATAAAATTAAATAAATCCCTCTTTTGTATGGCTTGCTTTGTGCTGGCAAATCTGGCTTCATGACTCAATTAAGCTGATTACAACTACTAATCCTTCTGAGAAAACAAAATTCGTATTTATCTTTCTCTCATAGAAAGGACTTCTCTCTAAAATTCTCAATCACTTTAATCTATTAGTTTCCTCAGGAAAATCCAATCAATAAATAGCTTTTTGGGGGAGGAGGGGAAGGGTTGGAGAGTGAGACTGGGGAGAAACCAAATAGACAGAAAAACAGTCTTAACTGGAAGCAGACATATGTTAGCATAAAACTGTAAAGAAAAAACCCTAGAAACATTAAACACATATACAATTTCCAACAAATCAAAACCAGTTTTCCCAAGGATTTTTCCCAGAGTCTACACCCCCCCCACACACCCCAAACACTTAAATTTTCAATGGTAATTCTAGTATCTACATCCCAAATACTAAATCTTTTTTCTACAATATTAGAAATAAAACACAAAGAGAAGGCTATCTGCTAATGTCCATAATCTTTTTTATTTGCATATTTCTCAAAAACATTAACAGATATGCTTACAATAGTAATCTCTTTATTTCCTCCCTCCCCCTCTTTCTTTGCTATTCCCTACTCTTGCTCTTCTATCTCACCAAGCATGTGCTTTAGCTTTTTCAGTATATTCCCTTTTAAGGTATTCTCCTCATAGCCCTGATGATCACAGGTCTTCTGAAGATTTTTTTTCCTATAAAGTCTCTGAAAGCCACAGCAAACACATTTATTATTATTAAGTAATTAAAGACTTTCTATGTTTCATAACAATGGCTCTCATCCTACAATGAGTAAACTAGTCTCTTGCTGTACAATGTTCATTTATGCATGATGAATTCTTTTATGGTTTACAGGAAGAGGTAATTGACCCTATACACGTAAATAAGGTTACACATCAAGGTCAGACAAGACATTATTAATATCACTTTATATTCAGAGCTCCTTTAATCTAAGCATCTTATAAGACATTAATCCTTACAACTAACAACTAAGTCACAAATGCAGGAAGTGCCATTACCATTTATAGGGAGAAATAGCTTAATAGTTCTGTATGAAGTAACAAGAGACAAAACAAGGAATTTCCAGAATGAGCTTATGAGAATGCCTCCATTTTAGATTTACCCCAGGTACTTCTGTCATCTCCCTGCCTACCCAGTCCTGTCCACACCATCTATTCATTAATGTTATACCATGTTTCCTGTAATTATATTCTATTTTGAATGCTTTCTCCAATTGAATGATGTCCTACTGTTTTTATTCTACAAGTGAACTTTCACAAAAACTACTAAGAGAATACCTTAATAGAGAATATACTGAAAAAGCTAAAGCAGTGCTTGGTAACAAGCTTCCTTTAGGAAGCTTGAAGTATAAACTACAAATCATCTTGGCATCTCACCTGGCTGCTTCACACATTTATTGATTTCCTGCCTGCAGCAGAATTTCTCAGCACTACACTTCCTTTTTTATGTCAAGGTAACAGCATACAGGTATTATAGCCAACACAACAATAGTCTCAGTCTCCTTAGCTGGATCATCAAATGGATCCTTCCCCCAAATGTGGTGTGTCCCAAGGCTCCATGCTGAACTTTGTTCTCTCTATGCTCTTTGTAATCTCTGCTCAATTGGTTTAATTATAATCTCCACGCAGATGACTCCCAGATCTATCTACATAGCCTTAACCTCTCTTCTGAGCTCTAGTACCAAACACCAACTGCCTCCTAGATTTTCCAAAATAGATGTCCTACAGGGACAGGCCTTAGGACTGGATCCAATATTTCATTGGTATAGGCAACTCTTTCTACCAAAGAAGGTCTGCACCTTCTCTGCCACTGAGAGTCTTAAAGAGGTGCCTATGGTACCGAGAGAATAAGGGACACACATACAGTCAGTATGTGTCAGAGACGGGCCACAGACAACTAGGTATCTCTAACTCAATAAGACCAAAACAGAACTCAGCAGCTTTCTGTGAAAGGCCCCCCTCTTCCGAACTTCCTGATTTCTGTTAAGGGGATTACCACCCTCCAGTCATGCAAATGAGCATCCTCAGTGTTGTTTTTTACTCTCCACTCACCCCATGAATTCTACCTCCATAACATCTCTCCCATCTGCCCCTTTATCTCTGCTCACACTGCCACCACCCTAGTCCAGGCCCTCATCCCCTCTCTCACCTGAGCTATTTCAGGAACCACCTAAATTAGTCTCCCTGCTTCAAATTTTTTCCTCTCTTCATTTTCAGGCCTTTGAAGCCCTTCACAACTTAGCTCCTTTGCTCCTCTTCATGCACTTAAAGATTCTGTCAAAATGGCCTTCTGACTGCTTCTTCCATTAGAAACTCTATCTCTCTTCTCCTTGCCTCTGCAAAGACTATCCTCCAGGCCTGGACTCCACTTCCTCCTTACCTCTATCTTTAGGAATCCCTAATTTCCTTCAAATCTCAGCTCAAATGCTACTCCTACATGAAGCTCCTAATTCTTCAGATTTTGCTAGTGCCCCACTTGCCCCAAATTATATTTTGTTATTGTATTATTTATTTCATATATATTATGTTTCTACACAGTGCCTCTTGAGAGAATATAAGTTCCTTGTGCAGTGACTCTTTATTTTTGTCTCTGTCAACCAGTACTGTGATTGATAAAGAGCAGAGACAACTGCTTGCTGATTGATCTAGAATTAGTTCCTTGCAGTAAAACTAAAAAGACTCCAAAAAATTCATATGTAGGATTTTCTGCTCTAGCTTAAACTCAATTACTATTACTTTTAATTAATTTTCTTTAATAGAAACAAGGAGGAGGGAAAGATATGAAGACACATATTGAGGTAGTTACACTTCTACTCAGCTTCCTCTGTGCTCAATATTCCCAATCACCAATTCTTCACTGATTTAACTCCACTCATCCAGAAGCTTGTTTCTTTTCTTTTTAAACAAAGCAAGATATTTTTGCTCAGGATGATTTTTGATACCATTGTGAGAAATGCCTTGATACTGGTTTACCATATATAAACTATGATGAGTTCTTTTAATACTCATTTCTACCTTCTCCACTTCATGATCTTTAACTACCCATTGGCTAGCCCAGAGTCTTTGTATTCAATCTACTCTCCCCCCACCTCAACTTTTCATAAAAAAAAAAAGTATCCATTTTATTTATTTTAGGGATATTCCTTCCTCTTTTCATAATTTTCAGTTTCTATACATTGGTTTTACCCGTTTGTTTTAGAAAGAACAACACAGGAGCTATTTTACAGATGACAACAGAAGCCTACAATAAAACTGTAGTATATCATGAACCTTGGGACCACAGCTTTAAACTAAAATACCTCATGGAAATTTTTGGTCCCTGAGACCGAATGGATGAAAAAAACAACAGCTCTAGTCACTGAGTTATTTTCTAGTTCCTTCAGACCTAACCTTTGGTTAGCTCAGGGTTTGGAGGTTTAGGCTGAGCCCAGAGTTCTCTGACCATCTTTAATTTCAGTTTATAAGGGTGAATGATGAGGCCATACAAAAAACCAGGGTGGCCTTCTGGCTTCACTAAAATTTCAGACTAAGAGATTCTATACTGGGATGTACCCCTCCTACTGGCAATGCTGAAGGGGAACATAAAACATTGTTATTTTTAATGAGTTAAGGCAAGACACAAACAACATAAAGCACAGAGCTGGTACCCCACACATGTTCCACAAAAGCCTGTGGTCACACAATTCTGGATTTGAGTAGTGGAAAATAAGCACAAAATATATTCCCCCTAAAAATAAATAAAAACATGCTGAGACACATACTTACTTATAGGTCCGAAAGTAAATCTTCCCATCCAGTGCAGCGAAATGCAAGACATACTCTAAACCAGCGAGACGAATATTTGGTACCGTAGGGCCTCTGAAGAAATCTAAAAGCAGAATGGGAAAAGGACCCGCATGTACAAAAATATTTGTAGCAGCTCTTTTTGTGGTGGCCAAGAATTGGAAATTGAGGGGATGCCCATCCATTGGGGAATGGCTGAGCAAGTTGTGGTATATGAATGTGATGGAATACTACTGTGCTATAAGAAATGGTGAACAGGCTGACTTCAGAAAAACCTGGAAAGATCTGTATGCTGAGTGAAGTGAGCAGGACCAGGAGAATGTACACACTAACAACCACACTGCACAAAGACTAACGCTGACAGACTTAGCCTTTCTCAGAAATGCAAGGATCTAAGACATCTCCAAAAGTCTAATGGAAAATGCTATCCACATCCACAGAAAGAACTATGGTGTTTGAATGCAGATTGAAGCATACTATTTGCAATTTTTTTTCCTTCTGTTTTGCTTTGTTTTCTCTTTCTTGTGGTTCCTCCTATTGGTTCTAATTCTTCCTTACAATATGACTAATGTGAAAATATATTTAATAGGAATGCATATGTAAAGCCTATATCAGATTGCGCACTATCTTGGAGAGGGAGGGGGAGAAAAAAATTTAAACTTGAAAGTTTATGGAAGTGATTGTTGATAAATCAAAATGAATTAATAAAAATTTTTTTAAAAAAGAAATCTAAAAACATATTTCATGACAGTAAAGAAGAATCTCAAGAATGAAGATTTTTTAAATTCTGCTTCAAATAGAACAAAACCATCAGCATGAAAATGCAATTTATTCTAAACACAAATCTAACAATAACATGAATATCAGAAAGATAACAGGTAGTACAAAGAAAAAAATCCCTGATTAAGCTTCACAAGTGCCCCTTCTAGCTCTTAATCTAATGACTCTCTGTGGTTAGTTCACTGAACCATGTTGCTTTTCAGTTTTAATGCTCTCTGCCAATACTTGGCATGGGGTCGAAAGTCATGTTCATCATGGACATTAGCTTCAAAGAAAAACATACAAAAACACCCAAAATGCAGTTGACAGATGTTTTTCTAGCCTGAGCAGACACACAGGTTAATTTTAAAAAAGTAAAGTGTTATATAAATTGTTGTCTAAACAACAAAAGGATCGACACTAAATGCTGTGTAATCATAATGACCAACACTTGGCCCCAAAAAAGAGAGAAGCCTCCTTTCCCTGCTTCTTTGGAGAAGTGGGTAACCAAGGGTGTAATGCACTGTATATAACACCAGACTTTTTGAGTATGTTGGTTAGTTTTGCTGAACTGTTTTCCCCCTTCTTCTTTTTCTTCTTCCGTATTATAAAGGGATCACTTGCTTGGGAAGGGGTGAGGGAAAAGATACAGTAGGAAATATAGGCAATGTAAAAAACACAAGCTGTAAATTTAAAAGAAAAGCTAGTAACCCAAGGTGACCTTTGTGATAAAGGGGAGGTCTACACTAAAAGTAAACCTTAAAGGAAATCCCCCAAAGGGCTTCCAATTATAGAAGAAAAACTACAATATTTTAGGGAAAACATCTGAACAAGACTAGGACTGAGAAAAATACAATCCTGCCCATATGCAGTCTCTCTTCCCGCACAGAACTCAGGGCAATTAGAATAAAACAATCAATCTGCCAAGAGACCATGGTGCAAATTTCACTAATAAAGAGATGGCATAAGATTTTGCCCCAAATTCACCATACCAGAGCTACCAAATCAATAAAGCTCTGGTAACTCAGTGTAATAGTATCATCACTGAGGTCAGTTTTGTTCTGGGAACAGCAAATATTTCCCTCTACTCTGAGACAGCAGAACCGTTTTCAACACACGTTGTTTTCCTAACTTTTTTAAGAATGAATGATGGATTAAGAAAAATACTTGGGAAAACAGAACCACATTTTCTACCAGGCAAAAGACTTTAGACATCAAATAGCTATGGGTCTGTGTCTCACAAAAGTTAATGCTTATCTTCCCTTCAATGACTGACTGCCCCATGAACTGCTAAACTGAAATTTCATTAGAGTTCTTGGTACTTCAAGATAATAGAAAAATATATTTAAGGGAAAAAAGGGGGAGAGATATTTGGGAAGTACACCAGTAGCATAAGCAGCAAGTCTTAGCAACAGAAATGCAAATTTGCCCAATGTAATATGAAAGTCTGCCCCATCTAGAGGAAAAAGAAACAATTCTTACATATTTGTAGTCTTGATAATTGTTGATTCAACAAATACTCCTCAAGTGTCTGCTCTACAAGGTACGGGGCAGGGGGGATGTTTGTAATAAAAGATGAATCCTCAAAGAGCTAACAAATATACTAAGGGAAGTTAAAACAACAAAGAACCAAAAATAATAATCCAAATAGAAAGAGAGACAGGAACAAAGGTTCCAGGTTGGAAAAATGAGGGACACTTTTTGGAGGAATGAAAAGAGCATAGTTTGGAAGAATAAAAAAAAGAGTGGCAGGAATAGTTGATAATACAGGGAAGGCATGTTGGGAATGAATAGTAAATTCAAGGGACTGATGGTGAAAAGCATGCCTTCTGCCTCTCTTAGCTGAGAGGTCCTAGAATATTAACGTAGAATGACACATACATTTTCAGACAAGGCCAGTATGTTGATTTGCTTTATTTGACTGAATTAATCTATTACAGGTTCCACTGTAGAGAGGGGAGAGTCATTAGGAGATAGCAATAGTGATATTTTTTAAAAGAGTATCAACAAAACTTTTTTTTAAAGTAGGTTTAGAGTCAGATCATAGAAGACCTTGAATACCAAACTAGGGATCATGGACTTCATTTTTTAAGCAATGGGAAGCCACAGAAAGTTTCTGAGTAAGGGAAGTTATATGATCAGAACCATGCTTTAGGAAGACTGACCTTGTCCACAGAGTTGTTTATAAGAAGAGAGAAAATCTGGGGACACAGTAGATAGAGCACCGGCCCTAGAGTCAAGAGGACCTGAGCTCAAATCCAGTCTCAGAGCAGACACTTGATACTGACTAGCTATGTGACACTGGGCAAGTCACTTAACCTCCCAACTGCCTCATTAAAAAAAAAAAAAGAAGAAGAAGAAGAAAAAAATACAGGACTGGAAACTAGGAAAGAGGCCAGGCCTGAATATATGGATTTGAAGCTGCCAACACAGTAATAACAGCAGACATTCAATAGTGCTTTAAGGTTCACAAAGAGCTTAAGGTACGTGATCTCACAAATGAGGTCACTAAGGGTAATGAAGTAAAGAGAGAAGGAGTATGATGACACAGAATACTGAGGAAATCTAACGAGAGGCAAGGATGAAGAAAAGAGAGGCAAAGGGCGTAAGAGAGTAATGAGGGGTAACAAAAGAGTCAAGATGGTGCAGGACCACAGAAACCAAGGAAACAGAAAACTCCAACTAAGAATAATGGACAGAAATGTCAAACGCTTGTGAGAGGTGAAGAAGGATGAGAATTAAGCAAGCAGGTGAGCACTACTACTCCCCGGGAATTTGAGGAGAAGAGGTGGAACAGCAGCACAAAAGAATATGACAGAAGGCAAGGTGTTTACCACTTGGTTTTTAAAAATCCACAGCAAATTACAAATATGAAGAATTAAGAGAAACTTGGAAAGATGTATAGAAGCGATGCGGAGTAAAAAAAGAAAAGCAGAACCAGAAGAATAAACACAATAACTATAACAATGTAAATGAAGACGACAATAATAAAGGGTGACAAAATTCACGCCAAATACCAGACAACACTAGTACCGAATTACTCAACCAAAAGCATACCATCCTTTCTTTCTGTTAAACACTAAAGCATAAAAGTAGAATAAACAACATGTGCTATCAATTGCTAACCACTCTTTTAAGTAGTTTTGCTTAATTTTTAAAGCAATGTGCTTCGTGGAGAATTTGTTTAGGATTGGTTAGTTGAGGGGCAGCTAGGTGGCACAGTGGATAGAGCTCTGGCTTTGAGTTACGAGGACCTGAGTTCAAATCCAGCCCCAGACACTTGATATTTATTAGCTGTGTAACCCTGGGCGAGTCCCTTAAACCCAATTGCCTCACCAAAAAAGCAGGAAAAAAAAGGACTAAGTTGTCATGAAACAAAAAGATATCAATGTAATTTATAACATTTGGTTAAAAAAAGAAAGAGTACATTTCTGTGACAGTTGGTCTGCATGAAGAAAAAGTGCAGTGTTTATCTAATAAGACACCTCTGCCTAATCTTGTCTGCAGAAAGTTAGAGGTAACAGCCTTGCTCAGGGGGTGCTGTTATTTATTTCCCCACAATACAAACATCAAGAAGAGCTCAATCAAATGTAATAGATACATGAGGAAGAGAAGATGTTATCTTAGGGAGCTCCCAAACTATACAGATAACTTTTAAACTGATACAACTGACAATAACAATCACCACAGGGAGTTAGCGAGATATTCTTATGATAAAATTTCAAGAAATGAATCTAAAGATGAATATTTTCATGGCCTGCTATTTTAAAAAAAGTAGCACTCACATACTTTGTGGTACAAAGTTGAACCATATGCTTGCATATTAAGAGTACATAAGCATATTAAGAGTACATATGGTAAACAGATAGAATGCAAGAAGATCCCAGATTGTCTAGCATGAGCATGCACAATAAAGACAGAAGGGATTCTCAGTTTTTCTTTAATATAATCACTAGCTGGGCCAGCTAGGTGGCACAGTAGACGGAGCTCCAGCCTTGGAGTCAGGAGGACCTGAGTTCAAATCTGACCTCAAGACACTTGACACTTACTAGCTCTGTGACCCTGGGCAAGTCACTTAACCCCACTGCCTAGCCAAAAAAAAAAAACATATATACATATAATAATCATCAGCTATAAGTGACTGCCCAGAGGAAAAACTTTATGATCTCCCCTTCCTATCACCATGAGTTCATTTGCACAAATCTGTATAAACTATATATAAACCTACCCTTTTCTTACACTTTTATATTTTAAATTATCATGTGGTATCATGTATCCATATCTAACGCACCTTTTTTTTCCCCTTCTTCCCCACTCCACTCTCTC